AGAGAGAATAAACCTTAAAAAAAGTTAATTGGCAGGCAAGAAGCTTTAATCGAAAGCTTGTCATGCGACCGAGCTTTTAGATCACGTATAGCTTAAATGCATAAATCAGAGAGCTTTCATGTGCTTTAAAAGCTGTTTCAAAAAGTTGTTGCTGTATGTGTGAAAGGGGGTTAGAGAGAGAGAGAGAGAGAGAGAGAGAGAGAAAGAGGTGAAAGTGAGCAGGACAACAAATATTTGCATATTAACAAACAAATTTGTTTGTGGCAAAATGTTTGCCAGACGCAACATTTTGTTGCTGCTGTTGTTGTTGTTGTTGTTGCTTTGGGTGTGAGTCAATGCACTGAAAAAAAAAAGAAACAACAACAACCACATAGAAAACCGCACACAAAACGCGTAAATTTATTTCTAGACATTTCGCCTTAAATTAAAATTAAAAATAACACACAAGTGCAGTGTGTGTGCCTGTGTGTGTGTGTGTGTGTGTGTGCCCAATGCACTTTCCTAAGCTTTAGTTGTTGTTGTTGTTGTTGCCGCCCACGCTGCGCGCAGACAATAATTATTATTTGTGGTCTAAAAATTGCGCATGCCGAAATTGAAATTATTTTCTTTGTTATTGTTTTTATTGTGTTTGCACGTTTTGCTTGTCAAAAACTTTGTGCATCGATGAATGAATTTGCCGAAAGCAATAAATAGCCTGGAACAGCAACAGCAACAGCAACAGCAACAGCAAAAATATTAATAATAAAATGGTTGAAATAACATTTTTGTGCCAGGCAAAAACATTTTTGCGCCCATTAATCAAAAGTCTAGACAAATTGCAACAACAAATGCAGGCAGCACACACACGCGCACACACGCACACACGGACACGAATCAAGCTGTAGATCAACAGCGCATAATTAAATGCTGATGAGCTGTTGTTGTTGGAGCGGAAATGAGGGGCGGTTCCGCCAGCAACAGGAAGAGCGGCTGTTAATCAAGCCGCCGACTTTTGTTAGCAACAACATTAACCATTAACAGCTGTCCAACCAGTCCAGTTTTAACAGCTGTTATTAACAGCAGCAGCAGTCAGAAATGTGGCCAAGTTTGGGCAACACTTTGACGTGTTGCTAAGCTGTGCCGGGGCAGCACTTGACAGTCGCTGGGCACATGTTGCGGCACAGAGCAGCAGGGCAGCACTTAAAGCTGCATTGAAAAGGCGGGCAGCACTTGAGCTACAAGCAAACATGTTGCTAAACGTATTTGTGGGTCAACATTTGGAGATGTGCTGGGCAGCACTTAAAGCTGCATGCAACTGGGGCAGCACTTGAGTTAAGTTCAAAGTTAAGTTAAGGCAACATTTGGAGCTGCGCTTGAATGGAGTCAAGGCTGGGCAGCACTTTAAAGATGCATAAGCCCCCAAGGCTTATTTAATTCTGTTCGAAGCTGGGCAGCACTTGAGCTGAATTAATTTGTGACTTCCCGCTTGGCAACATTGTTGGCCTTGTTGCCAAGAAGTTTTCGCACAACAAATTCAATTCTATGTCGCAGGCGCGAAACAGTTCCCAAAACAGTTGCGGCCGCTTTTAAGGTCATGTTTTTGTGCACATTTCGCGGCCTGGCAAATATATAAATATATATATATATATATATTTATCTATATATATGCACAATATTTATGTATCGAAATTTGTGCTGAATTTGCAGGCGGGCACAAAAAATAAGAAGAGAGAAAAAAAACAAAAAAAGAAGAAATGTGAAATCAAGCGCAAAAATTGCCAAGCGCCAATTAACGTAAATTTTCAATTATTTTTGCGCGGCGAAAAAGTATTTTTCAAATTGCGCAAGAAATAAAAACAACAATCAGTCGCAAATGAATTGGAAATGGAAATACAAATAACTAAAATTAAATATTAATAATAATAACAATAAAATAAAATGGGCAGCAACAAGAAAGTTGACGAAAATGAGGCTGAGCCGAAGCATTTCTTTGATTAACGCAAAAACAATTTATTGTTTATATATATATATATATATATATATGTGTGTGTGTGTGTGTGTGTGTGTGTATTTATTTATAAATATTTATAAATCTATTGCGCGTAAATCGGCAGCTTTTGTGTATCGCAGGGCGCTTCGAATTGTTGTCATTTTTTTTTCTTCTGATTATTTCGCTATTGTTGTTGTTGCCTGCATTTCAATTGTGTTTCTTTATTTTCGCACGCAAATAAAACTGGCGCCAAATGAAAAAAGACAACAACAACAAGCAGAAGAAGCAGCAGCAGCAGCGAATTATAATAAGGCCGCCACTTGATAAACGTCGCGCGTCGTTAGCGCCACTTATCACGTATACGCCATGTCGGGCAATGCCCCCCTGCTTCTTTCACATATTGCTGCTGCCGCTGATACTGTTGTTGTTGTTGTTGTTGTTGTTGTTGCCCTTGTTGTTGCTGCTGCTGTTCGATTACTCTACTATTCTGATTGTTTTGGCTACCCTGTTAGCCGATGGCATTGCCAAAGGCGAGCATATTAGCTGCATAGACTAAAGGGATACGCACAAGGCCACAGTTTGTGGGAGACACTGTTTGAGAGTCACAGTTTGAGAAACACAGTTCGAGAGTCACAGTTTGGAGTTGACAGTTTGGCAGTCACACTTTGGGGCTCACAGTTTGGGAGTCCCCATTTGGGATAACCAGCTTGAAAGTCAAAGTCTGGTAGTCACACTTTGATAGTCACCAGTTGGAGAGTCACACTTGAAGGGTCACAGTTTGGGAGTCACAGTTGTAGTGCGGCCCCACCTCAATGGAAGTGCACAGTTTGTGAGCCGCATGCGCCTAGTTAGCGTCACAGTTTTGCAGTCTCGGCTACAGTTTGCACTTGCAACAGGGTATTGCGCAGTCGTTCCAACTGTCTCCCCTCTCTGCTGCTGCCTGTTGGGTGGGTGGGCGTTGCCCCCATCCCCTCCCCCCGCTTAGATAGCGAGATAGATTTGTCGCTGTGTTTAGTTAATTAGTTGTTGCTATTGCCTTCGATTCAAGACCAACAAAAATCAGCAGCTGCGCCGCCCAATGATAAGCAACTGGCCCCAAAAACAAAAGCAAAAGCAAAAACAAACAATCCATCAACAAAGTTAAAGCACAAAACAAAAAACAAATACAAATACAATCTGATATTTGGGCGAGAGACACGCACATACCCTACATAATGTACATGCTCAGCATACCCCACCCTTCAGCTGTTAGAGAGTAGCTTTAAAGTGGAGTTCATTTTGTTTTGCAATACTTAAATAATATTTCATTATTTAATCATATTTTTAAATAAACATTTTCTTATATTTCTATTGTTTCTTGCTTTGCCGACTCGCTCGACTCTTTGAACTTCCTTTGATATATAGCTAATGCTAAATACCCTGTCGCAGCTGTTAAGCGGGATATTAGTTAACAAGTCTCATTTCTAACAATACCCTCGAACCATTGCAAATGGGCAAAAGGGGTATCATGTCCTTGTGCAAATGTATGTTACTGGCAGAAGAAAGCCTTTATAGTATAGTATATATTCCTGATCAGCAGCAATAGGCAAGTCGATCCACGTTTCCATCTCAGAAGCTATAAGAGCTAGGGAACTGCTTAATGCCCGCGCAGTACAAGTTTGTTAGTTCGATAATCGATAACTTGCAAAGTTTCCCAGCAATCGATAAACATCGTTATCGATAAATCTTTTCCTTGTCAAATCTCTTAGAGTTTAAGAGCTAGAGTCAACAAATTCAACTTTTAGCTCCTAGAATAGTAAAAAACAGCTCAAATATCTGTCGCCTAGCGCGAGCTGCCCTTGCTGAAGCTGCAGGGTATCTGCTAGTCATGTACTCCCCACCAGCAAACTCTTACTTGTCTAAAGATTTTAAAGCAAAATAAGAAGGAAAACTAGCATAGGCTTAAACTGGCACAGCTCAGCTTTTGCAGGGTAACTCCTAGTCGTGCATCTGCCACTCTTTTTTTCGTCGCTTTTTTTGGCAATTTTTTTTTTGCTATTTTTATGGGCTGCGCGTCGCCAACGTTCGATGTGTGGCGCCAAAGAGTTTAAAGTTTTAGCATTTGTAATTTCGTTTTTTTTTTGTTGTTTTTTATTTTTTTTTTTAGTGTGTGTGCGTGTGTGTGTGTGTGTGTGTGTGTGTCGGCCGCCACTCAGCCGGGGTAATTAAAATATATTAATAATTTAACGCGCTTCGCAGCGATTTGCATACCGATTTTAGTGGCCCATCCAATTAACAGCGGCAGCAACAAAAAAGCCGCTAAAAAGCCAAAAATGCGAAACAAAAAAAAAAAAACTAAAACAAAAATAACAGCAACAACAACAACAAATAAAAGCTGAGTCTAGCTGCCCCCTGCGAACAATTTGACACTTGTTGGCGCCGGCAACAACAGCAACAGTTGCTGCTGCTGCTGTTGTTGTTTGTTGTTGTTGTTGTTGCTGCTTTTGGCTTTTATTTTGGTTTTTTGTAATTGAAAACTGCTGCCGGAAGCGGCTGCTGCCTGTGGCGCCAGGCAGCGGCAACATTTTCAGCAACAACTACGGCGACACCCCCTCACCCAAACCGCTCCCCCTCAACCCACTCACCCAATATATGTCTATAAAGTCTTTTACGATGCTGCTGCTGCTCCTCCTGATATAGGCTATAGACAGCGGCGGGCATTGACTAATTTCTAATATGGGCAAATGCAATTAGCTGGCGCCACAATTCCGCAAGCCAAATCGGCGTAAACAAAAATACACACACACACACACACACACACACAGATATACATATATGTACATGCATGTAATATATATGCTTTTATAGCAAAAACAACAACAAAAACAACAAGAAGAAAATGCAACTGCAAATTGGCAATTGAGGAAAATACTCAAATATTGCCATTTATTTATTATTTATTTTGTGTTTGCCCACATTTTTCCATTTACCTCATTTTGAGATACAATTTTCTCACGATTTTTAACGGCATTTTCTTTCGTTTCATTTTCAGTTACCGAATGTCAATTTGGCAAAGTTCTGCGCGAATTGGGCTCCACTTGGTATGCGGATCTGGGACCGCCATTTGGCGTCATGTACTGCATCAAATGTGAATGTGTGGCGGTAAGTAGCCAAAAGCTTTCAACTAACACTTAAATTAAACAGCTTTAAGCTGGGCAAAGCTCATAGATCAGAAGTCAAATACAAACCAAGCACAGCTGAAGATTAAGATTGGAAATAGAATGGAAATAAAATCGATTTGAATTTTGAGCTTTAGACCTGTCTAAGCTTTTGCCAATTAAGCAGCTTTTCAGATCACATACAGACTAAAAGGTTGTGGAGCTTAAAGCTTTAGTGAGTTAATTAAAGCTTTAAGGCGCTTTGAAAGTTGATGTTAGGGCAAACGCAAATGAAGACTAATGCACAATTAGCTGCAGCTACAGATGCAAGTTGAAGATACTTTTTGCATCTCATCTTTGGTTTTTTTTGTGTGTGTCTTTTGGGGGCCAGGCCATGTGGCACAGCAAATTGAGGCGCTGCCGCTGATGGGCGGCCAACTAATTGACTAATGACCGCCGACATTTACTACACGCAACAACAACAAACAGACAGACCAAACAATTGCGAGACAAACAACAAAGTTGCCAAAAGAAAATTATTGGCGAAAAATGTATTTTCACTTAAGGTTGTGCGAGTGGGTCGAGGAGGGGTCGAAGAGGTGGTTAGCAGGAAGACAAAGCGCATAATTAATGGCATTTTTACGCATGATTAATATTGATTTGAAAGCACTTTTTATAAGCGAGACAACGAGCACACACATACATATATATATATATATATATATATATATATATATATACCCTATAGACAGCGCCAATGGGCGAGTGCGAGAGTCTTGCCAAAACTCAACTAAAAACAAATTTAACATTGTGTTTGTTGTTACGATCGAGTTACGCAAAAAGAATTTGCATTGCGCATAAAAAACCAAAAAAAAACCGAGGCACGGCAGGGACAGGGACAGAGACAGAGACAGGGGCGGGGCTTTGCTGAGACTAGAAAAAGGGGGGCGACTCAAACAACAAAAAAAAACAAGCAAGCAACAACAAACTCTTGTGTCCTCGTTCAAGTGCTGCGTTAAGTAAAAATAACAACAAATTATAAAGATTTTATATATAACATATAACGATTTCTTATATATGCATGCATATACATATATATATATATCCATGGATTATATATAGCCGTGTGTGCGCTGTGTGCTTTACTTTCGCGCAGTTTGCATCCAGGCCCCAGAAAATTAATTGATGCCATAAAGTCTTGGCATATTTTTGTTGCTCTTGTTGTTGTTGTTGTTGTTTTTGTGCGTCTGCCAACGGCCAGACAAGCGACGATCCCAGACAGCCAAGCCAAACCCCAATCGAATGATATTGGACCCAAAAGTGCTCCAGGTCAAAGCAAAGAAAACATACAAGACTTAACTCCAAAATAGGCAAAGCTTAGCCCAAGTGAAATATGCAACAGCTTCAGAAATTCAAATCTATTCGAAATACCTTTAAGATATGATCCAGTTAAAGGGATAATCAAATACTCTCGACGGATTATTATGATTTATATGGCAAAAAGGGGTCTCATGTCGTTGTGCAAATGTATGTAACAGGCAGAAGGAAGCCTATATAGTATAGTATATATTCCTGATCAGCAGCAATAGGCAAGTCGATTCACGCTTCCATCTCAGAAGCTATAAGAGCTAGGGAACTGCATGTAGCTCCGCTTAATGCCCGCTCAGTACGAATTTGTTAGTTCGATAATCGATAACGCAACGTTTTCAAGCAATCGATAAGCATCGTTATCGATAATTCTGTTGTTGAGCAAATCTCTTAGCTGTTAAGAGCTAGAGTCTTCAAATGCAGCTCAGATATCTGTCGGCCTGCCTTTGCTGCGGGGTATCCCCTAGTCGTGCACTCCCGACTTACTTGTTCTTATTCCATTTGATGATTTAGTTCATAGCTGAACCAACTCCGACAAGAACTAGTTCAAGCGTAAATCTTCGAGTTCGTCAACTTTACGAGCCAAGTTATGCTTAATTAATTTAATTTATAAGTCTTTCTCTTTTTGCTTTTCATTCGTTTACTTTTTTGGCAAATTGTTAGAACTAATTGCAGCTTGGCACCTGCCCATCCGCAACCGCACCCCCCCCCCCCCCCCCCCCCCCTGTCGTGCCCGCTCCAGGCTGCCCCTTGAATGATTTTTATGTACTCATTTTTTTTATGGAGCTGTCTCGCTGGACATGCGGTCAGTTGGCTGTTGTTTTGGTCTTTAGTTAGTTGTGTATTAATTAATTATAATTTATGTGGCTGCAAGCGTTATAAACGAGGCACATCATAAAATAATTCCTACTGCCGACTACTGCTCTTCTGTAAGAAGCGGGGTAGCTGTTGCTGTTGCTGCTGTTGCTGCTGCCCATTAAAAGCGACAACATTGTCGGAGAGCCATAAAAATCAACATGAACATCAAACAGGCAAGAACGACACACAAAAACTCTCAGCAGATTCGCGCAGATCAAAAATGAATTAATAAAGAAAAAAAAAAAGTGGGGGACAAAAAAAAAAAACAAACAAACTTGAGCATTATAAATATACTCAAATATTTATATTAAGAAAATCGCAGCTTGATTTAGTTCTAATTTTAAAGCAGGCGACGAGACAGTGCGAAAGAGGAAGCAACAGCGCCAGACGGCCGCCAAAAGACCAACGACTAGCACATACCCTGTACTCGTGGCAGTTGCAGTAAAGCTCACTATATATTATATGCCATATGTGCTGATACGTAGGATGCACTTAAGATTATCGTTAACCAGGCCCATAAAGAAAACTAGAGCACTCTAGCTGCTCTAGTTGCCGAGTTCCGATAGTTAGTTCTTGAGTTAGGGCTAGCCAAAACACGTTCGATGCAGCCGAAATTCGGCGCCCGCAAACCTGTTGCCCAGGCGAACGCATTTGCACGCAGTTTATGCTAGCAGGGTATGTGAAAGAAATGTTATTAGAAAATATAAAAAAAAAAGAAGGGGAAAGAAAACAAGCTATTGAGTCAGTTTTCAGTTATGCGAATGGCAGCGCTAATTAATTTTGCGGCTACAAAAATTATATAAAAAGTAAATAAAAAATAAATAAAATATACAGTAATGGCAACAGGCAGACAGAAGTGACACATTGGCCAGCCACTCAGCATAACTAATGAGATAAAAAGAATCCAAAAAAAAAATCATACAATAATAATATTGTTATAGGAAAAAAAAAGAACAAGAGCTGCACCAAAGAAAACTAGAAGACAGGCAACGACAACATGTTGATTTGCACTTTATTCGTCTATATACAAAGTTTTTCATGTTTCTATCTTTAATCTATAATCTATATATTTATACATATGTGTGTGTGTGTGTGTGTGTGCTCTGCTCTTTCCAGATACCCAAAAAGCGTCGCATCGTTGCACGCGTTCAGTGTCGCAATATCAAGAACGAATGCCCGCCAGCCAAATGCGATGATCCCATCTCATTGCCCGGCAAATGCTGCAAGACCTGTCCCGGCGATCGTAACGGTAAGTTAAGCATAAAAGATCATGTCATAGATCATATCGTAGCCCAGCATATCGTATCATTTCATATATCCTAGTATATAATCCATGATATCTCAGTAGATATTTCCATGTGCTATCCCATCATATCATATGATATCATATCATATTTCATATATTGTATCATATCATATCATATCCTACGATATCCTATCATGCCATATAATATCCCATCGAAATTATATCATAATATCTTATATTATATTGTTTGCTATATATCATATTCTATCATATCCTATCATTTCATATCATATCGTCATATCATAATCCCTTCGTATGCACACATAATCCCCAACTATGCGTAACTTTGTTCTTGAAGAACGATAAATACTTTCCCTCGCCTCTAGGCAAATATCGTGCCAAAGATATGCGTCATGCGTCTATGATATGCCCCATGGTAACCATACAAAGAGCCATTGGGCAGGGTTGGTGGGTGGGTGGAGGGGTATCTGGTATATATAATAAATTTGCTAAATAGCTCAATATTTTGACACATGCAATTGTTTGTTACGCATAATAAATGAAAAAGAGCGCAAGATGGAGGTAGACAGATATCGAATGGGCTGCGTAGACGGATAAAATGTTGTAAGGCTTGTTTTTGCTTGTTTTTCTTTTTGGCAAAATGCTAAAAGCAAACACATATAGATCCATAGATCTATAGATCTATATATCTATGAATAATTAAGCGTAGCAGCAAACGCAGCTGTACAACACTTTTCAGCGCGACGCGACGCGACGCGACGTAGACCATAAAAATCATCAGAGAAAAAAAAGTAGAGGAGACTAAAAACATGCTATACAAATACTATATAGATGTATATAGACATATGTAGTGAATAGTTTGTTTTCTGTGCTTGTGCCCCGAAACGCGTAAATTGTTTATGAAAAATTACTTGGCCCGAAATGAAGGTCAACGCTACGCAATTTATAATTCTTTTTTATGCCATTTTGTCGCCTCTCCCTCCCGCTCTCTCTGTCTCTATATAGTGGGTTATATACAGATACAAGCTATATATATGTATATGTATCTGTTTATCTATATACAACATCATATTCCAATCTATACTTAGTATTCTTGATGTATGTTATTTAATTTTGTTGTTGGTTTTTTTTTTTTTTTCTCGGACCATCTCTGCATTTATTTATTGTATTGTAGCATTCGACTTTTGCATGTTGTTCGATGTTCTCCAATGTTTTCTTCTTCTTGTTTGTTTTTTTTTTTTTTTTTCTTTTGCTTTTTCCTTTTGGCCATACAATTTATTTTATATCCCACCCCCAGCGGGGCAGCGGAGGGGTGGGGCAACTGCGGCAGACATCATGCGACAAGACCATGGGGAATATATGGCTATCAAAATTTTGGTATGTCCCCCATATATGAGGAAGAGGATTCAGGCAAAGGGGGTGTCACTGGAATTGGGCTACAATTCGCTGAAAATTATGTTCTTGTTTTCTTTAAAAAAAGGGGGGGGGGGGAGCGTGGTGTGTGTGGGAGGCAGACGGGCGTTATACACTGGGGACACACACGTGCCACATTAAACGAACGGATTCCATTGCCATTCTAGGTTCAAAGACAGCATAGCTATTAGAGAGAAAGAGAGAGATCAACTGATGAGTGAGAGGGAGAGAGGGAGAGAGAGAAAGAGAGAGTGAAGAGAAGAGAGAGCGGAGAGGGAGAGGACAAACAGGCTGAGAAATAAGCCTAAAAGACAAATACATCAATTAAGTTTGAGGTTTATTTAAGCCAGGTAGCAGCCCCATACGCCATTTACTATAAAGTGGCAACCCTGGGTGCAATAATAAGCACAAAGCAGGCAACTCTTTCTGGCCAGTCAAAAGCTGGCAACTCTGCACAGCAAGTAGCTTAGATCTCAAGACAGTCAACAAAGTGCTGGCAACTCTGACAGCTTTGCTTAACGGGATGCTTCTATGAAAATGGTGACAACTCTGTATATTTCTAAAAAAAAGTATTAAACAGCATTGGTATATATATTTATATATATATACAAGTGGCAAGGCCAAGCAACTAGCTGGCAGCCCCCAAGTGCAACAAGCTGGCAACTCTGTTTACTTCAGCATTTATAAAGAATTCCTTTGCGCCCAAAAGTGGCCTTAAAGCTTAGGCATGCTTATGGACACGCACACACACACACACACACACACACACACGCACACACGCACACACACACACACACACACACACACGCACACACGCATAGCTTAAAGAGCGACTGAATCACAGGCAATTCTTTGGCTTTTGCTAATTTTCTGCATGAATTGAATTCATAATTAGAAAAACTTATGAGGAAAGTTGTGTTGTGTGTGTGCCTGTGTGTTGAGTATGTGTGTGTGTGTGTGTGTGTGTGTGTGTGTGACATTTTTCACATAATCAAGCCAAGTGCTGTGCCTGAATTCCAGTCTGCGTCGCCCAGTTGCTGCCGCTGTGTGGCATGGCCGCGCCGCCAAACTGGTTGCAACTGCCGCCAGTTGCTGCTGCTGCTGCTGCTGTTGCTGCTGCTGCTGCGAGTTGCTGCAGCAGCACATCATTAGTTTCCGTTTTGCGGCAATTTTTCATTTGCTTATGCAAAGCCGTTGACCTTTGGCGCGTTCCTCTTTGACGAGAGCGGACGCAGCGAAAGATTTCACTTTTATGCCGCTGGCTCGATCGGAAGGGTTGTGGGATGGGGGAGGGGGGAGGGTGGAGGATGGGTTGCAACAAGAGGTTGGCTTAAATTGCTGCCACATCAAATTGCAGGCAGGCAACCGCTTGCTGCCCGTTTGGCTGCGGCAACTCGTTTGCCATAAATAGTTAGAAGGCACGGGCGCGGCCCCAACTTGGCTCGCTGCATGCCACATGCCGCATGCCGCATGCCCCACGTCGCTCTATTGTAAAAATATTTAACAACAACAACAACAACAGGCAACTGGCAACTGGCAACTGGCAACAGCGCAGACTTTGCTTTTGATTTACCAAAGTTATTTTGTTTTGCGCCCAACTTGGTCTAGGCCTGGCTGCCGCTTTTGTTCAGGTACATAAGTATATACACCTGTATATATATATATATATATATATACATATAAATATAGATGCATGTCCAGTTTAGTCGGTTGTGCATCTGCCGCAAACGTTGTTGCCACCAAATTGCCCACGTTTTAAATGCCCATTTTTGGGGCTTGCCCCCAGCTCTGCGATCTGCAGTTCTCAGTTTCTCCGTTTCTCAGTTTCTCGGCTTGTCTCGGCTTGTCTCGGCTTGTCTCTGCGCATTCCTTGCCATTAATTTATGCATTTTTTCGTTATTTTTATAATGACATAACTCGAGCATTTTAACGCTTATTAAATTATCTCATTTGCCGCCACAAACAGCGGGCGGTCCTCAGCAAGAGAGAGAGAGAGAGAGAGAAAGAAAGCGAGCGAGCGAGATGGAGAGGAGTGGTATGAGGGAAGGGGAAGAAGGGAGCTACACCAAACCTGGTCGGGCTGGACTATGGCCAGGTAGACACAATAAAAGTTAATGCTCCATGGCAATCGTTTGGCACAACGATCGATCGATCGATCGACATCTCCTGCTCCGTCTCCAGCTCCGTCTCCTTCTCCGGCTCCGTCTCCGTCTCCGATAAGGCCTGGGCAACTGTCGTGCTGGGATCTTTGGATCTTCGGGCTGCGATCTGCTCGCGTCCATTAACTGCCTGACAATTCAAGTTGATGACATCTTTTGCGGTCGCTTCGTTTCCTTTTTCGACCATTTTATGGCTACCCCGAACCCAATCGAACCCAATCGAACCCTGACGTCGCATCGGGACACACACATACAGACAGAGGGAAGAGAGCGTGTGAGAGAGAGTGAGAGAGGGGGGCGCGAGAGATTTTTATCGCTGGACTCTTGCTCAGCGCCTTGGCTAATAAAATTTTCAACTTTATCTTTATCGCGAACGGCATCAAGAACGGAACTGTCTATTAAACAAAAAAAAAAAACATCTCTGCTGCACGAGATCCCATTTAGATTGTTTGCCTTAAGGTAGTTAACCAGGTGTGTGTGTGTGTGTGTGTGTCAGCGGTAGCTTTGGTTTCCTGGCGCAGCAAAAAGCAAAAGCTCTTGATCCCTGCTCTCTAAAAAACGGACAAAAAGCTTTTACTCTTTGGTATCCTTATATGCCCGGGCGAGCTTTTGCTTAATGCGTTTCAATAAAAGCTTCTTTTTTACATAAAGCTCATAGAGGGACTTGAGCGTGTGCTTTCTCTCTCTCTCTCCTTCTCTCTCTCTCTCTGCTATAAATAGCTAGAATTCTTTCTCTACTGCTTCAACATGTCCTAAAAGCTTTTAAGCCACACGCAACGCTTCAGATTCCATGGAATAAAACAGAACAACAACAACGAGAACGAGAACGATAACCAATCCAATTCCATCCAATTCCATCCAATCGAATCGAATCCAATTAGCAATCGGTTAAGTTCTCTCGCCGTGCAGCAGCTTTTCATAAGTAAATGCTAAACGCTGCGAGGAACCCCTTCGGAGAGATCATTTGAAAAAACACTTTCAAAACTGTGCATTGTTGTTCTTCTTCTTTTCTTTTTTTTTTATACATAAATATATCGATTCTTTTTCGTTTAATGAGCTGCGGCAACTGAAAGAGTGACAGAGGGGGGGGCTCTGCTGGAAGCTACATACCAAAGCGTTGACTCAATGGCCGAAGGTGTCGTTTGTCTTAGCCCCTGGCTTTGTCGGCTTCTGGCTGAGCCCTCGTTCCTTTCTCTCGCTCTCGCTGTCTGTCTCTCTCTCGCACCCTCCCTCCCCCCCCCCCCCTGCGTTTCGCCGTATTTGTCATGATGGGCAACGTGTCGTCGTCTTTGTGCGCACCAAAACTCATTTATCTTGACTTACAAAAACGGCCAGCAGCAGACCGAAATAATAACAACAACAACAACGAATACAACAACAACAACAATCAGCAATAACAACAACAACAACAACAGGCACACCACGAGAGCCACACACGGCATATAAAACGACAAGAAACGAAACGAAACGAAAATTCATTCATCTGCAATGGAAGTGAGCGCGAGTCAAGGGCAAGGAGTAGCAGTGGTACAAGGAACAGGTAGGGGGTGGGCGATGGGGGGGGGGGTTTGTTAACCTGAGGGCAGGAAGGATCTGTGCGCAATCTGCGGACCATCGCCAATAAGCTGAAGAATGCGACGCAGACGACGCGTCAAATTGAAAAACGCAGCACAAAAAGCAACACAAATACTATGTGGGCGAGCGGAGAGAGAGAGAGAGAGAGAGAGAGAGAGAGAGAGAGAGAGAGAGAGAGGGAGGTAGACAGTCGCTGCTGCAGTAGGGGACCGGGGAGGGGAGACAGGCCAGCCGCGCGGCTTTCGGTCAGAAGTGGCTCGTATTAAGATCAGGCGATAAGATCGGACAGCCGAAGACGACATTGGAAGGCGCACACACAAACACACACACACACACACACATGCACGACCGCAGCATGCTCTTGGCCTGGAACGAACCCCAACCTTAAGCAGCTCCCCACCCCCCTGCTGCGGCCTCGGCTCAATAAAATGCTATACAAGGTGTCAGATTTGTCGCCCTTCATTATGCGGCAAGCAGAAGTTTTTTTTTTTCTGCTGCCGTCGCAGCCGCTGCTGCTTCTTCTTTGTCTTCTTCTTCTTTTTTTTGCGGCTTAAGAGCGGAGTGTGTGTGTGTGTGTGTGTGTGTGTGTGTGCGTGTGTGTGGCTAAATAAACGAAATTCCAATGCAACAGCCGCAGCTTTGGCTTTAGCCTTTTTTTCTGCGTACATTTTGAAGCTGTTTTCGAGCAGCTCCTTTATTTTTTTAGCCGTTTTTTTTTTGTTTTCGTTTGTTCTGCTTTTAATCAGCTTTGGCCTCTAACGAAGCTGCTGTCAATCAAGCGGCATATGTGCGAGTGTGTGTGTGTGTGTGTGTGTGTGTGTGTGCGTGTGTGCGTGTGTGTGCCTGTCACATCCGGAAATGTCCACCTACTTTCACGCCGCATTTGCCTGGCTCTGTGTGAATTTCTAGGAATTCCTTGACTAGTTTTGTTTTCTTATACCTGCTCAATTTATGCACGATTAATGATTGCCACCTGGACAGGCACACACACACACACAGAGAGAGAGAGAGAGAGAGAGAGCGAGAGAGAGGCTGATCCGTCTACCTGTGCTTGTGGCCTCTTTTATTCAGATTCATTCATTCACATTGCATTCATAGACATTCATTTGTCGGGGCATTCATTGCGGGCCCTTTGATGCCATTTAGTGCTATCTGAATTCCATTTAAGTAGAGCATTTCCTTCTAACCTTCAGCTTGTTCATCGTCTTATTCTACTTCTTCTTCTTCTTCTTATTCCATTCCAGATACGGATGTGGCCCTGGATGTGCCCGTGCCCAGCGAGGAAGAGGAGCGCAACATGAAACGTAAGTACACACACATCAATAGAAACAATCCGAAACAATCTCAAGATCTCCGATATAGATGACTATATATAGACATAGATTGATCTTGAATGAAATCTTGTTAGACAATTGCTTAACTATTTTTCTCATGGAAGAACCCAACTCTGGTCCGATAATTAAACATATTTAGACTTGGAGCATTTCGATCCAATATATTTTATTATATATATTTCGAAAACTGAAAGAACCCTTAAAAAACTCAAATATAATTTCTAAATTAATCATTTTTTTGGGAAATATCTTGATTTTGGAATATCTTATATAAGAATATCTAATTTTTAGTTTTTATAATTTTTCGAAGAATAATTCTTCAAGAAACCCATTTTTAGACAATTTTCTCGCGTTAATTCATATGAGAGCTATATGATATAGTAGGCTGATCCGTTCGCACACTTAATATGCAACTTCTGCTGTCCCAAGAAGCAGCTGCACTCAATTCGAAGCATCTAGCACGACAGAGAGTCGAGTTACCTTAGAACAAATGCAGCTACAATCGCACAGCAGGTGTTATATGGGAATTTTATGATGCCCGCCCAGCAGGGACACATTCAGACTCACACGGATTCATTCACAATTTGTTTCTTGCCATTCACAGATTACGCAGCTCTGCTAACGGGCCGGACATCGTACTTCCTGAAGGGCGAGGAGATGAAGTCCATGTACACGACCTACAATCCGCAGAACGTGGTCGCAACGGCGCGCTTCCTATTCCACAAGAAGAATCTATACTATTCGTTCTATACATCGTCTCGCATTGGACGACCACGTGCGATCCAGTTTGTGGACGATGCGGGCGTCATTCTGGAGGAGCACCAGCTGGAGACGACGCTGAGCGGCACGCTGAGCGTCTATCAGAATGCGACGGGCAAGATTTGCGGCGTATGGCGACGCGTGCCGCGCGATTACAAGCGCATCCTGCGCGACGATCGGCTGCACGTCGTCCTGCTGTGGGGCAACAAGCATCAGGCGGAGCTGGCGCTGGCCGGCAAAATAGCCAAGTATACGGCGCTGCAGACGGAACTGTTTAGCTCGCTGCTGGAGCCGCCGGCTCTGGTCGGCGGCAAGCCGGATCCGCAGCTGGCGGGCGCCGGCGGCACAGCGATTGTGTCCACCAGCAGCGGCGCGGCCAGCTCTATGCATCTGACTCTGGTCTTTAATGGCATCTTTGGCGCCGAGGAGTATGCGGATGCGGCGCTCAGTGTGCGCATTGAGCTGCCGGAGCGCAAGGAGCTGATCTTTGATGAAGTGCCGCGCGTGCGCAAACCCTCGGCCGAGATCAATGTACTGGAGCTATCCTCGCCCATTTCCATACAGAATCTGCGCCTGATGTCGCGCGGCAAGCTGCTGCTCACTGTCGAGTCCAAGAAGTATCCGCAGCTGCGCATCCAGGGCCACATTGTGACCCGGGCCAGCTGCGAGATCTTTCAGACCCTGCTCGCTCCGCCGCACGGCAACGAGCTGAGCACCCGGAGCAGCGGCCTGGCCTGGGTCTATCTGAACACGGACGGCTCGCTGGCGTACAATATTGAGACGGATCATGTGAATACACGGGATCGGCCCAATATCAGCCTGATCGAGGAGCAGGGCAAACGCAAGGCCAAGCTGGAGGATCTGACGCCCAGCTTCAATTTCAATCAGGCCATCGGCAGCGTTGAGAAACTCGGACCCAAGGTTCTCGAATCACTATATGCCGGCGAGCTGGGCGTCAATGTGGCCACCGAGCACGAGGCCAGCCTGATACGTGGTCGCCTGGTGCCACGCCCCGTTGCCGATGCACGCGACTCCGCGGAACCAATCCTGCTGAAGCCGCACGGCGAGCACGCCAGCCCGGGCCTGGGCATGGGCATGGCCTGGATGTCCATCGATAACGAATGCAATCTGCACTACGAACTGACGCTGAGCGGCATGCCCAACGCTGGCCAGGATCTGCAGCTATATCTGGAGGAGAAGCCCATCGAGGCAATTGGCGCGCCCGTCACACGCAAGCTGCTCGAGGAGTTCAACGGCGCCTACATGGAGGGCTTTGTGCTGGGCATGCCCTCGGCGGAGCTGATCAAGCTGGAGACGAGCGTCTGCTATCTGGAGCTGCACGCCAAGCACAGCCATCAGCTGTTGCTGCGCGGCAAGCTCAAGTCGACGAAGGTGCCCGCCCATTGTTTTCCCATCTATACGGACAATAATGTGCCCGTGCCGGGCGATCATAACGATAACCAAATGCTGACGGCCGAGAGCAAGTGCTTCCATTCCGGCCGCTTCTACAACGAATCCGAGCAATGGCGCAGCGCCCAGGACACCTGCCACATGTGCGCCTGCCAGCGTGGCCAGGCCAACTGTGAGTTGATCAAGTGTCCGGCTCTCAAGTGCAAAACCGGCAGCGAGCAGCTGCTCCAGCGCGACGGTGAATGCTGTCCCAGCTGTGTGGCCAGACGCGATGCCGACTGGCATACGGCGGGCAGCAGCTCCTCCTCCTCCTCCTCTTCCTCCTCCACCGGCTCCGGCTCCGGCTCAGGCTCCTCGCCCGCTTTGAACGCCAGCGATGTGCTGCAGCAGCGCCGCGGCTGCCGCTTGGGCGAACAGTTCCATGCCGCAGGCGCCAGCTGGCATCCGTTCTTGCCGCCCAATGGCTTTGACACCTGCACCACCTGCAGCTGCGATGCGCTCACGCTGGAGGTGCGCTGTCCGCGCATGGTCTGCCCGCCGCTGCAGTGCAGCGAGAAGCTTGCCTATCGCCCCGACAAGAAGGCCTGCTGCAAGGTCTGCCCCGAGGGCAAGCAGAGCAATCACGGCCAGAGCGGCAAGCATACGCCCAGTAATCCCAACGTGCTGCTCGATCAGGCCGTACAGCGTACCGCCGCCCACAATGCCGAGGAGGTGCTGGCCGCGGGCGGTTGCAAGGTCGTCAACAAGATCTACGAGAACGGACAGGAATGGCATCCGATCCTGATGTCGCACGGCGAGCAGAAGTGCATCAAATGCCGCTGCAAGGTAAGTTAACCCATCCCGCCCTCTCCAAATGGCCAGAAGTGTTGGCCTCAACTAACTGTTTTATTTATCTCTCTCTCTCTCTCTTTTTTTTTATTTCTCTCTCAAAGGACTCGAAGGTCAACTGCGATCGCAAGCGCTGCTCGCGTTCCACGTGCCAGCAGCAGCAGCAGCAGACGCGCGTCTCCGGCAAGCGTCGCCTCTTTGACAAGCCAACGGCTGGCAGTGAGCTTGGGGGCGTGGCCGGCGCTGCGGCGCCCATCGACGAGTGCTGCTCGACGCAATGCCGACGCTCGCGACGTCATCACAAGCGTCAGCCGCACCATCAGCAGCGCGCGGCCAGCAGCTGAGCAGCGCAGTCAACGGCGACGGCGACAGCGACAGCGACGCCAGCAGCAGCAGCAGCAGCAACAGCAAAAGCAAAAGCAACAACAGCACAGTTTGTGCTCTCTCAAGAGAGCAAGAGAGCGAGCGACAGCCATGTAAACTTGTATTATAGAACAAAAGGGAAGGAAAGAGAAAGAAAACAAACACACACACACATACATGCATACATACACACAAAAGCATACACAGAGAGCGAGCGAGAGATCGTAGCGTAGCGTTAGACGAAAGGCAGCAAGGAAGCAAGGAAGAGAGTAAGAGATAGACAGAGAGAGCGCATATAATATTATATATATACATATACACACACATATATATATATATATATATAGAGAGAGAGTGAGAGTGAGAGAGCGTATGTGAATAACCAGTGCAGTTGCTTTAAATTCTCGACTTTAGAATTTAGCTCGAAAGCATTTTCAGAATTTCTTTGAAATTTTTAAAATTCATATGAAAAACTGTGCTGTGTAATGTTCGTTAAACATAAAAAAAAAAAAAAAAAAACAAAACAAAAAAATAAGAAAAAAAGGAAACAACAAAATGGCATGAAGAAGAAGCAGAGCAGCCCAAAAATTCATACAGAACAAAAAAAACTCACTTCATTTCAATTAATTTAAATTCACATTTAAATTGCAATTTGAAAGCGAACAGCAAACATACACTGAGCGAAATATTTATATATAAATATTTACATATATTATGCACACATATATATACACAATATTTATATATGTTTATACATATATATATATATGTGTGTGTGTGTGTTATTTATCATATTATTTTTTTTTTTTGAGAAATATTTTATGAGAAACTAAACGCAGTGGGAAACGCTTTTGGCGCGATTTTAGTTGCTATCGATAATAATTTATATGTGTACGTGTTATCGATGTGTTATCGATATCTTTTGCCGCGCCCACCTGCGCAGCGGCGGCCAACCAAAAGTTTCGACTGATTGACTGAATGGCAAAAAAAATATATAAAAATATATATATAAAAATAAAAAAAAAATAACAAATATTTAGCATGTAAGCAATAAATTTTTTTTTTTTTTTTGTGGAAACATAAATTGAAAACTGAAGCTTTTCAATGTGAAATTATTTTGTACTAATTGTTACTTACTCACACACACACACGCACACACACACACACACACACACACACACACACACACACACATATTGCAGAGCGTATTAAAAAAGAATTGAAAAAAATATATAAATATTTTATATATAATTTTAATGCGTTGGTAAAATGTTGAAAAAAATTTAAAAAAATCATTAAAAAAATGATGTACAAAATTTGAAGAAAGAAAAAAAAAGCAAATGCCATGTATACATATTTATACACACACACACACGCACACACGGACACAAACAAGAAACAACAAGAAAAGGAAAAAGCAAATGAAAGGAAAATGAAATTGTATTAATTTTTATTAAATTTTATTCTATTAAATTATTCTTATTATTATAAATTTTATGTTTATTTTCTTGTAGCTTTTACATATATGATATACCAATACATATAAATACATACATATATATATATACAATGCATACATATACATATTTATATATATATATACACATATATTTATATGTATATATATATATATATATGCATATATATGCTATATATCGATCGATTAAATTTGCACAATTAATTGCGAAATACTAAAACAAAAACATTTTATGCAACGTCAGCAACAAATTGTACTAATAATATTTAAATTTAATGTTTATAAATTAAAAAAACAACAAAAAAGAACAACAACAACAAGAAAAACAAAAACAAAAACTTCCCAAAAAACACACAATAAACAAACAACAAAAAACATAATTTTTTTTTTTTTTCTTTTTAAAGCTTTCACTTATTTATTTTTTATTTTTATTTGATTTTCTTTGATTTATTTTTCTTTCAAATTTTTCTTAAATACGCAAAACTTGCACAAAAATATATGCATATATATTTAAAAAATAAATATAAATATATGTATACAAATAAATATACAATTGTCAGTTGTGTTTTTTATTAAATTACATTTCTGCAAATGAGAAATATTTGAAAACTTAAAATATAGTTATGAGCAGCATTTACAGCGGAAATGAGCTGAAAAATGTTTGCTAAATGTTGGTAATTGGTTGTTGTCAATAAAAGTTATACGAAATTGGGCAAATTTGATTAGCAAAATAATTCTATTATCTGGCATCAAATATAAACACATTTTGTACAGTTCAAAGTAGAGCTAAAAACTATCGTAAGTAGTTGCATACTAACAAAGAGTAGTCAGTATTTGGCGACAAGTACTTTGAGTATTCACAAGATACTCATAATCATTCAGAGTTTCTGATCTGGAACTAAGCTTCAATAAATATTGCATCAAATATAATTAAATTAAGTTCATAAGTATCGAAAACTACCATAATTTTTTAAATGGTAACGAAAAAGTTCTCAATATTTGGCGATAAGTACTTTGAGTATTGGCAAGATACTCATAATCTTTCAGAGATTGTGTTCTGAATGTTTTTTTTTTTTTTTTTTATACAGTTCAAAGTAGATCTTAATTCTATGACTTACCTTCTTCTCGCTTTAGAGTCAAAAGCTACCATGAATAGGCGTATACTAGCGAAGAGGTAATGAGTATCTGGCGACAAGTGCTTTGAGTACTTTGAGTACTTCGCCCGTCAACTGTTGAAGACAAATGTTTTTTACGCAAATGTTTAACAAATTTTAAGCAACAAAAACAAAGACAAATACTAATGGGCGAGCAAGAGAAAGAGCAACCAACTAAGTGGCTATTTGAAGAGACTGCGCGACTGTCAAATACCCTGTTACAAGTTGTTTGTTTGTTGACAAGGAGTTTAAATATGTGCATGTAAGTAATATGCTTGAGTTTCACTTATGCTTAATGAAATATACATATTTTTTATAGAAATCTTCCATATATATATTGCATATATATAAACATAAATATTTTAAGAATTTTCTTTGTTCTTGCGCTGTAAAATTTTCTAAGCGAAGTTAAGTGAAGAACTGCAGCAAAGTCAAAAACAGTTGTATGGTCTACCATGCCCTTAGCCTGCACCTGGCCCATTACAGGGTATACTACACTACAGTCTTAGTTGCTTAGACTAACAGCGCGGCGGTGGGGGAGACCATGGGGGGGTAGTTGCTGTCGCAGTTGTCGCGAATGAAAAGCAAATGAAATCGAATAATTAAATATTGGCATAGTCACACCTTGTTGACAATTATTGACAGGCTGATTGGCAAACAGCAAACAAATGAATACGTCGCCATTTGCCGCAGCTAGCGAGTGTGTGTGTGTGTGTGTGTGTGTGTGTGGCTGGCTGTGGTGGGTGTGGCACACAGTTCTAGGCCAACAGCTACTGTAAGCACACGCAAGGGCCAAAACGCGATCGTATCTCTCTGCCGTATGCATAGCAACCCCCCTACCCTCCTCGCTCCTCCATCAACCAATCAAATCTCAATCCCAAAGCCAAAGCCAAAGCCAAAGCCAATTGCATTCAGATATCCAAACTTGGCACCAAGTGGCGCTTGGCGTTGGCGTTGGCGTCTGTCGTGCCGCATTGAAGATTGGAGATGGCATCTTTAAATTCTATATATGGATCTATTAAAAGGGGGGCGAGAAGCGGGGGGGAATTTGTCATTTGCATTGGAATTGGCCAAACCTTAGCGCCCACATTTGGACATTTGCGGCACGAAAAGCACACACACACACACACACACACACACTCAGACAGAGCCAGAGTAGTTAGATGATATCTTTGAGCTCTCAGCGGCTAGCATTGGCTCAGTTGATTTACGAGACATCCAAACGCCACAGTCATACATATATCTGTTTACCTGGATATGCATATATATATATATATATAGATATACACATATGTTAATATATGTATTGCAATAACACGCTCACGACATTTAGCCGACACTCATAATCATCAATTATCTGAGCTGTCGTCTCTGGCAATTGAAATTGAACTGAGAATGCGAATTGAAATGGAAATGGAAATGAAAATGGTAATGGAAATGGAAATGGAAATGGAAATTGGTTATTTGTGGCCCTCACACATATGTTAGGCATTGCAACAATTCAACAATTTTATTCATATCAAAAGGCTGTTTTTAATCTTAAACGTCGTTTGCCATTCCGATTGCAGCTCTGTTTTGATTGCAGCTGTCATTCAACATGATTGAATGGACTGCCTGACTGACTGAACAGCTTGATTGATTGCTTTTGTTGTTTTTCGTTTTTTTTAGTGGCATGCAAATTCGGTGCAAGGTGTTAAATATTTTTGACGCCCACTCGCCAAATCACGTTCAACCAAATTGAAATTGAAACTGAAGATAGAATTGAAGAACTATATCTATTGATATACTCTATCCATATCATACTAACCAAATCCTAATACTCACTTTATTTTCGATTATGATTGATTGACAGCTGTTCAAGACTGTTTCGCTTTAAACTTTAAACCAGTCTTATTCTATGTAGAAAAATACCATTATATAATCCAGCCCATTTAATTGACTGATTGAAGCACTCAACACTAACACAAATTAAGATTGAAATTGAAATACTACGCTTGGTCAAACTGTCTGAGTTCGTTTTGAATAGTTTAAATTTGGATTTCAGCTCTAACATAATAGCGCCCGTCAATTAAGGCTTGAATAGTTAACTAATTGATTGACTGACTGATGGAAATGAAATGCAAATGTTGTTCTAAGTGTCATATAATTTAAGTGCTTTTAACTTATTGGCATTCAACATTTAATTTATGCTAAATTGACACAAAACTGAAAACAAAAGCTAACAGAAATTTTAATTTAAAAAAAAAAGCATTGAAATTGAAATTAAAGCTGATTAGAATTGATGTAAAAGTGTAATGCAAATCGTGTACAAAATATCATATAATTGAGCTGGGATGAAACTAATTAAAATTTAAAACAAATTCATAATGCACTTATAAGAAAATTGAACTGAAATTGAAATTGAAGTCAAAATTGAATTGAAATTAAAATTGAATTGAAATGAAATAAAATTGATATATAACTGAAATGGAAATCATGCTCAAATCAAAAATTTAATTCGGAATGTCTCCGACTCACTAATACTCTTCCCAGGCACAAGGTCCAGTTTCCATTTAGATAACAGCTGTCTTTCGTTGATTGAAATAGTCTTAAACTGATTGAAATTCAATGCATAGCCCGTGCAAGGTGTCAAATATTTGGCCAAAACAAACGCAGTCGGAGCCAATTGTTAGTCGACATACATTCAACATTGAATAGAAATTGAAAATCAAACTGGATATAGTATGTCAAGCACTGCATATCTAGTTCTAAATGCCATATGTGACATTCAATTCGCATGCCAAGCTTGTGCTGATTGAAGCCGTCATTCATTTAGCCGACTGACTGACTGACTGATTGAAATGCATGGCAAGGTCTGGCAGATATGTGCATATATACATTTATATGTATATATATCTATATATATTTATTTTTATTGTGCCGCCCACTCGCCTTGCGGCCATTTGACATTCAACATAGAATTGAAATTGAATTCGGCTGGCTTACAGCTTCTCCAGTTGTCATTTGCCGCTGGCTGATTGCAAATGCAAATACGCCAATGGGTCAAATCACGTTGACACTCGCTGTCAGTGGCTAATTGCTGCAACAAGCCCCAAAACATCAACAACAACAAGGCTCAAACACACGCGATCATCTCTGCGATCTTTGTGATCCCTGAAGCTGCCTGGAGACTGCCGGAAAGTTGAATCACTTCCCTTTTCAGCAAAACAATCTCAACTTGCAGTTGCTCTTCCTAAATGCACATCAATTAGATATACACTTTTCCATAGTTACTTTTCTTTAAGTTACATTAGCAGTCGAATAGTTTTCATGTGCTTTCTGCTTGTAATTCCCAAGCAGTTTAACCGTCAATTTGCAAGTATTTAGAAAGTAATTTACATCTAAAATTTAAAGTATAAAAGTAGCCACAAGAAAAGGTTAACCAGAGGTAACCTTGTAAATGTATATAAGTTTGTGTGTATGTATGCATGTATGTTCGTATGTATGTATGTATGCATGCATGTGTGCATGTCAATTGTCTTATAAAATACCAAGAGCAGACCAATTTATCTTGTTGCACTGCAAATTTTAATAAGAAAAACGTATTTATTAAAGCTGCCCTCCTCCTCGATTCTCAAAAATGTAAGTAAGGCTTGCTGGCTTCACCTATGAATTAGGCGCAGGCGGCGTCAACGCTGGAAGCAGAGCATCCGGAGGAGCACCATGGGGACGGAGCAAGAGGCGTAGGTATGTATGATGTATGTATGTATGTATGTATGACGTATTTATGTATGATGTATGATGTATGTATGTATGATGTATGTATGTATGTATGATTTATGTATGTATGTATGATGTATGTATGTATGTGTGTATGTATGCATGTATGTATGTATGTATGCTTGTATGTATGTATGTATGTGTGCATGTAAACTATCTTATGAAATACCAATAGCAGATTTAATTATCATGTTGGGATGCAAATTTTAAAAAGAAAAACGTATTTATTAAAGCTGCCCTCCTCCTCGATTCTCAAAAATGTAAGTAAGGCTTGCTGGCTTCACCTATGAATTAGGCGCAGGCGGCGTCAACGCTGGAAGCAGAGCATCCGGAGGAGCACCATGGGGACGGAGCAAGAGGCGTAGGTATGTATGATGTATGTATGTATGTATGTATGATGTATTTATGTATGATGTATGATGTATGATGTATGTATGTATGATGTATGTATGTATGTATGATTTATGTATGTATGTATGATGATTGTATGTATGATGTATGTATGTATGCATGTATGTATGTATGTATGTATGCTTGTATGTATGTATGATGTATGTATGTATGTATGATGTATGCATGTATGTATGATGTATGTACGTATGTATGATGTATGTATGTATGTATGTATGTATGTATGTATGTGTGCATGTATGTATGTATGTATGTATGCATACGCGAATTCAAAAAAATATGCGCTTGACTTATTCCCTTCTACTCGATTCTCATAAATTCAAGTAAGCTTCACTGGCTTCGCTTCAAGTGTAGGGGACGACGGCCTTAACATTGGCGGCTTTCCTATAGAGAAGACGGCTTCAACTGGGAATGAAATGACAGCAGGAGGAGGCGGCGGGTTCAATAAAGGAAAGGCAACATTTCCAATATTGAAGGAGACGGTGCAACGGTTTTTGCGGAGGATGAAAATTGGTGCGTATTAAAAATTTAACTTTATATATTGCTCTACTATGCGATTCTCACTAATTCACGTAAGGCTAAGCAAACAAGCTGTTTTTAAACTAATAAGCCATTTCTCTTCTTTTCTTTTCTTTCAGGGATGAGTTTATAAAAAATTCGTCTTTTGCCCACTGACAGATGACAGATATAATCATGCGCTTGAATTTACAGGTAAGTACGTAAAAACAATGTATGTATCTTTATATATATAGAACTATTCGCCTGATTGACAGACTGACTGACTGATTGACTGATTGATTGATTGACTGATGACTTCTCCTTTGACTTGTTTACAATTTCCGAAAAAAGCCAACATTTTAAGACATATTAAAGTTTAATATGACATGCTAAATAGCCTTTAAGCTAAGCTCACTTTTAATCATACGAAAGTTAGGCAAATTTATTTTAAAAAGAGTTAAAAGGAATGAAAAGAATAAAGCAACAACTGTCCATGGTCACACACATACATAAACACACAAATACCCTCACGCGAATCGATCTATCAAAATACCTGTGAAAATAATGAATGTAGAATGTTTTTGTTCGAATCGATTTGCTCCAGTTTTAACAAAATGAGTTTCGTTTTTGGCCAATTTGTTGACCACGCGCTCGGGACACAATCAGCTTTAAACACACATCTAGAGTCAACAAATCAAAATAAACAAAATAATAATAAAACAAAAAAAAAAACAACGCCAACAACAATCAAAATACAAAACAATGCCAAAACAAGTCGCTTAATAGAAGTGCAGTGTGCACGACTATACAATACCCTGTATTTCTGTGTCAAAAAAAAGTTACTAAAAAAAACAGCAGCCGGCTACTCCGAAATTCCCTATATTTTTATACCCTGTACCTATTATTTTTGTGCAAATGTATGTAACAGACAGAAGCAAGCATCTGCGAGCCTAATAAGTATATATATTCCTGATCAACAGCAATAGACGAAACGATCTACCCATTTCTGTCTGTTCGTAGGTATAGACGCTGAGATCTGAGAAGCTATAGGAGATAGAGGGAAATTTTGAGCGTAGGTCCTTCTGTTGTTCGCGCAGAATGTGTTTGTTTTCGGATAATCGATAACTGGTCCAGTTTCCAAGCAATCGATAAGAATCGTTATCGATATCTGTTTCTTCTACTAGAATAGTAGAAGCAGATCAAGCATCTTAGCCATTTAATAGCTAACGCCACACCCCCTCCCCCTCCCCTTAGCTAGAGCTGCCTTTGCTGTTAGTAGCAGAAGGTTCAGGGTATCCCCTAGTCGTACACACTCGAATAAAGCATTCTTGTTTTATATAGATACCATTAGAATTCTTTTATTTATTCCATTTTCTTCTTACTTAAATATATTTCTATGGGTTTCATTCACAATCACAAGCTGAGCATACCCGCTTATGCGAATTTATGGCTGTAGGGTATACAAAAAATCAACGAAAATTAAATCTTTATGAATTGTCTGCCAATTTGGCCAGAACATGTTGCCCGAAGGGGGCTATGCGGTGGCGGAGGCGGGCACGGGGACGGGGACGGGGACGGGTTAGCCAAGCAACTGGACACGGCCATAAAACTGGCTAAAAGACAAATTTGGAGCTAATTATAAATGCAGGCAGCACCAAAGCCAAAACCGACTCCGCCGGGTCTCAGCCAATGGGTGGGCGGAATGCCAAATGCTGCTGCCAGTCACAGTTGCAGAGGAGGTGGGCGGTAAAGGGGCGACAATTGGTGGCAATCATGAATGAAAGCCAAGAGCTCAGCTGCGAGCCAGTTGTGGGCGACTACAACAAAAAGCTCAAAATGTGGAAGCCGAAGTCGACGCTTTGGCGATTTGCAAAGTGTGAAACTAATTTGTCAGCATGACAATAACAATAATAATAACGGCCAAAAGGCCATAAACATCATAATAATATTCGATATTCAATAAACATTAACAAAATGCGACAATTAGCGGCCACTGATTTGGGCAATCCAAAGAAGAAGAAAATAAATGAATCAAAAAACTATTAAAAAAAAAAACACGCGGCGTATGCGCAATGTGCGAAAATGTCGAAAGGCAGTCGGGAAATAGATTCAAGGAAAATAACTTAAATACATATTAGCTTAGGCCGAAGGCAGCTCCTACAGAGCATGTGCAGGAAAATTAGACTACGGGGAAAAGGTACGAATTGAAATTCGAAAAGAAAATGCTTGCTAGAAAGTTACAGAGCGAAGCGCATGAAATAAACTCCTGAATACGAAAACTCAATGAAAATTCTTGGTGGGAGAAAGACTCCGAAAACTTCCTCGGTGAAGAAACTCCTAAGATAGGATAACCGCAGAGGTTACGGAGGTTAAAATAAAAGTGAAACTTCTTATAGAAAATAAGATGAAATACTCCGAAAAACTCCGAAAAGCTCCTAAAACTCAGATAGCCCAGAATAACTCCGAAATATTACGAAAACTCTGGAAAACTGAAGAAAAAAGGAAGCTCCGAAAAACTCCGAAACTTTCCCTGAGAATTTACAAATTTGCCAGCTGGCAGCCGGCATGACGACCACTGAAACAACTGGCTCGACTTCTGCGTTTAATTTAGTAATGCAGACAGACCATATTTTCAGGCTCCACGACAAGCTTCCTGTCTTAGCTAATCTAACCTAGGCTAAATCTCAGTGTGAGCTGTGACGAATGCAAATGCTCTAGTGAATACTTATGAATGTTGAGTATGTTGCTGTTGTTGTTGTTGTTGCAACAATTTAATTGAATTATAAACGTTCGAGCTAATAAAATCGATGATGTAAATTGCGCTCGCTTGCATTTAACACCTTCAACTATGGAATTTCATCTATTTTTATTTATGATCCATACCATGCTGAACAAAACATGCTCCCACCAACCCACCCACTCCACTCCACAATCCCCCCGCGTTTGGGGGTTGGTTAATCGCATGCAAATTGTATGCAATCGTAGCGCTAAAACGAAACCAAATCAAATCACAGCAAATCCCAAAGCCAGGGGCAGAGCCGGAGCCGTTGCCGTTGCCGTTGCCAGAGCTAGCGCTCGAGACGTGCTCTAGAGGCAGCCAGCTATGCGAGAGTTGCCTTAAAAGTTTTAGTTTAATCTAAACTTACAATCAAATTAACTAGATATAAGAAGAATTAGTTTCTATCTAAGCTAAGTGAATCACATAACCTCACTTTATCCGAGCATAAGCTAAGCAAACATCACCTCAATTTTTCTGAATGTCAAGCCATTCTTTTCCAAGCCAACTTAATCCCTTTTCCTTTAACTAGCTACCTATACTTCTTTTAAATGCTTCACATAACCTCACATTTGGCACTGAAAGAGTGAGGTTATGTAGTTTCTATGCCAAATGTGAGGTTATGTTATGCATTCAAATTGAATTAACCATGAGAAAAGTCGACTGGCCAAATTGATCAGTTGACCCGCGTGTGATTTGTAACTGCAAATGGCCACGGGCCCCTTCGACATGAACCTGGAATATGGCTTACATCGTATCGTAGCGTAACGTATCTCGTATCGTATCGCTTAATATCGTAACATGTCGTGTTGTATTCGTTGTTGTTGTTGTTGCTGTTTTAGCCAGCTCAGGCTGATTTTGTATCTGTATCTGCATCTGTATCTGCATCTGCATTTGTATCTGTATCTGCAAGCGAGACTCTGTCTGGGGACTGGTTGAAACGGCTCGAAATGCCGCCGGGCTGTGTAATTGTAACGCAACAATCAAAATCAATTGCTATGTAAATAAAATTGCAAATTAAATTACAAATTGATTACCTCACTGAGTCATTAATTAAATCGACAATGCTCGAAATGTTCGCAATGCGACAGCCACCAGAGGGGCAGAGAGAGAGAGAGAGAGAGAGAGAGAGAGTGAGAGAGAGAGAGCGAGTGGAAAATAATGGGGGGTAGGCAAGAAAGACGGCTTGAGAATTGGAGAAAAGTCCTGAATACTTGATGAGTTGCTAATTGAACTAATTAAGTGAACCAGTTAAGTGAACTAATTAAATGAAACATTTGGTGAGCCAACTTTTAAGTGAACACTCAAATGATTGAAGTAAACCAAAAATTGAGCTGGCAAATGAACAAGCAACATAGTTGAATGTAAAACCGAACTGAACCACTAAATGAACTACCAAAAGAACCAAGATGTGAGCAACTTAATGAGCCGCAATGTAAGTGAATCTCGAATTGAATTTACAAGTAAGCTACTTGCATAAATTTAAAGCCTAAATGAACATCTCAGTGACTCCAAATATGAACCACTAAGTGAACTACTAAGTGAACTACCATGTGAACTACTTATTGATCATGAATTGAAGTGAATTCACCTGAGTTCGCATGTTCACTGAACTACTAAGTAAACTTCTTACCTCGATGAAATACAGAAATTAACAGCTAAGTGACTCAATATGTGAACTACTTAGTGAACGATAATGTGAACTACTTAGTGAGCACGGATTTAAATGAATTATGTAGTGATAAAGCAAGTAAGCTTTGAAATTCTATCTATCTTCTTCTATCTCTCTCCCCGCCTCTCTCACTCTCTCTCTCGCTGCTTCCCTCTTTCCCCCTCCGATTATGTATCGATGCATGTATTTACTGCATGTATCGATACCTTATCGATTAATTGCGATTTAATGATTTATGTTATCAGTCTGTTGTCTTTAATCAGAGATAAAAATGTATCGATAAATCGAAATTGATATTCTCATAGCTGAGTAAAGACGACTAATTGAAACAAATCCCTTGTGAAACATAACTTTAGCAGCTGAGTGGAAGTGGAAGTTGCTTCCGTCAGATGAACATTTAATCAATCAGAAATTCACCATGTCCCTCAATCAATCAATCAGTCGTCGCATGTGTCGCATCGTTATCTGTTTGTAAAAAGCTTGCCATTAAATATCGCGGCTCAAGAACGGGTCTCGATGCCAGTCGGTCGACGGGTCGATCAGTCGATCAGTCGCACAAGTCGGTCGATCGCTCGATCGGCTCCTAATGGACCGAAAGCCGGTGGCACTGGGCAAAATGCAATCAAAATTTAAAAGTCGTTTAACAAATGCTCCAATTAGCATTGTGGGCGACGACGACGACGACGGCGCGTGCCAATAAACTTAATGAGCAGAAAAAAGGAAGGAAATGCATGAGAATTGGCATGCGCGGGGAAGGGAAGAAGT